TTTTTAGATAATATTCTCATTATAATAGGTGTTTTTGTGTTTCATTTAGGGATAATTTAAGTTTAGTTTTCGTTCTTTCGCTATAAATATAATATTTATCATGTGTAGTATGAACTAATTTGTTGGAAATATTCACCTATTGGTTGCTACAAGAACATCTAAAAATATGTATTTACTAAACCCAGGACATGTTCTATTATGTGGTTTAAAGGACATATCAGGTACCAAACGTTTATTATTGATGAACTTATTTAAAAATCTTACTATCCTTATTCTTATATCATGAAGTGAATTGTGTAGTACTTTGTATAAATGTAAATGGTAATAAAACCGTCACAAATCAGATTGCATTTTGATTCTAAACAAAGTTCTGCAAAACCATATAGATTGCAATTTGCTGTGAGATTTTTAGCAGATTTCATTTTTAATTTAAACACTTTCACATATTATCAGAAATAAACAAATTTAAAGCTAAAAAGTAAGAAAAAACTCAAATTGTAATTGATACAAATTAAAATGTAAACAATAAACACGAACGCCAATGTTGCCAAATGATGAACTGACTTTGTCTCTGACTGATTTTAAAACAAAATTAATAAATGAACTGAAATTTAAAAAAAAATCTATATAATTAATCGATTTTATAAAAAAAATCCTTAAATAAATATAGAGCATTACATATTACTAGACACAAATTTTGATCTTTAAATAAAAGGTCTTATCCATAACTAAAATCCGACGATGTCACGAAATTTTGCTGCTTCTGGCAAAACTGAATGATATCCTACTTACAGGGACCTTCTACTAATTTCCTCCAGAGGGCGTATCTCATTTAGCTTGAATCGCGAATAGCGCTTGATTTTAGCTAAAAATATCAAGATGATATTGTTTTTTGTTATTAAGTTAGGATTTTTTTTAAATATTTCAATAACAACAATCGATTTTATCGATTATTTTAGAAAAATCGATTATTTTCTATTAATCCATTATTTTCGATTAATCGATTATTTTCGAGTATTCGATTATTTTCGATTAATTCATTATTTTCGAATAATCGATTACTTTGGAATATTCAACTATGTATTTTCGATTAATCGATTAATTTCGACTAATCGATTATTTTCGATTAATAAATTATTTTAAATAATCGATAATCGAATATTTATTTTGATAATCGCCCAGCTCTAATTTCAACCCTCCTTATCCCCAATTTTTAGTCAGATTTTTTTTCTGAATCAGTAGGCTTCATGCCCTTGTAAAGATTGATTTTTACTAAAAATTTCAAGTTGATATCTTTTTCGTTTTTGAGTTAGGATTTTTTTAAATATTTCAACCCTCCATTTTATTTCAGATTTTTTACAGAATCAATAGGCTTTATCTTCTTATAGAGCTCGATTTTTACTAAAAATATTATGTTGGTATCGCTTTTCGCTTTTGATTTTTGTTTAATTTCAATTCCCCTTTACCTCCCATTTTTATTCATTTTTTTTTCTTCAGAATCAATAGGCTTCATTATCTTGTAGAGCTTGATTTTTACTAAAAATTTCATGGTCGATATCGCTTTTTGTTTTTGATTGGATTTTGTTTTTTATTTCAACTTCCTTAACCCCCTAGTTTAGTTAATAGGCTTTCTCCCCTTATAGAGCTTGATTTTGCTAAAAATTTCAAGTGATATCATTTTTAGTTTTTGTTAGGATTTGTTTTACTATTTCTACCCCCCTTAACCCCCTACTTTTAGTCACATTTTTCAAAATCAATACAGGGTATTTTTTAAACATGCGGCAAAAATTTAAGGGGTTGTTCCTTAAACTTTTCTAATTCTTTGATGACTTTTAAAATTCCGTTTCGTTTAGAAGATACAGGGAGCACAACATTTTAGAGAAAACTATTTTTATTATTTTTAAAATTATTAATACTTTTTAAAACTTCGTTATTTTTATTATTTTTTAACATTCCAATTACTAAAAATGGCTATTTTTTCCACTTAAAACAGGCAAAAGTTCAGACATCGTAAAGAAATACAGATTAAATCTGGATTTCATTTAAATTCGTCTAGTGATTGATCATTTGGTAGTTAAAATTTTGTTACTGACTTTATCATGAATCACTATACAAACGCCGAGATGACTGACATGCATTACATTTATGGTCTTGTTGATGGAAATTCATTAGACGATTTTCTGACCGTAATATTCCTGATAGAAAATTGTTCCAAAATATTCATCAACGTCTTCCTGACACAGGCGCATTGAGATGAAGTGGAGGGCCAGGAAGGCCAAATACTGCAAGAATGGTGGAAGTGGTAGAAAATGTGCTGGACATGATCGAGGAAGATGCGAGTACTTCTATTTGAAAAATTTCAAATACTTTGAATGTGAGTTGTTTGACAATTTGTTATACCATGTAACGATTGAAACCGTTATTTAGTCCCAAACATTGTAACGGTTGTAACCGTTTTCGTTATTTTGACACCAACATCTCTACACAAATGTCATTTGTCGTTTATGCCTTATGTCTAATGTTGGCAATTCATTTTCGATTGATAGCTGTCAACGAGCAAGTTGAATTATTGAATTTTAATTATCTTTTATCATCCGATTTACTAATTGTCTTTAATATTTTTAATGACCGTCTGATTTTATAAAGCCTGGCTGTATATAGATGGTTTCAGTAGAAGTTCTATAGAAGTTATATCGATGATTTGGTAGAAATTATATCAAAAAAGATTGTTTAGACGTTTGGAACAACGTACAAGATGCATGTGTAGAAATATTGAAACTTAGAAGTTTAGTTCCAGCTACAGAAGTTGTTTCAAGTATTTCAAGAGTTTTAGTTCGAGTCATCCAAAGAAGTGTACGAGATTTAACTTTACCTATGAATATTTATCATTTGGTGATATCCAAGCCTATCATACGAATCCCCTGTACCTGCTACCTGTTATACCACAGATAAGTTTTCAATAAATCATTTAAATTTGAATAAGTAAGTCTCTGTGAATTAGAATTTGTCGCTACCTTATTTAATTATAATATCTTAATGGTTAGTGATTTTCTATATTTTCATCACTAATCGATTGTCAAGTTTAAAAAGTTTTAAATATAGTGGCTCTCAACATTCTTTTTTAAAGTAATACGAGTTGTTCAATAACCTGACCCACTCCCTAAAATCATAGAACTTAAAACATTATAAAAATAGATAAAATAATAAGATCATATACAACGCGTCAGGCACTCGTTCCTGCTGATTTTCCTCCACGTATTGCATTTTGTCAATGGCTTTTGCACACAAATTCCTCAACTGCTGACGCTTATTCTTTTTACCGATGAAGCGAATTTCTCAAGAAATGCAATAAGGAATTTTCACAATCTAAAGTCATTAGTGTATACTACTCCAGTAGAAAATGTGGAAGACTTTTGAATTCGGATAATTACTGGGAGTAACTCAATAAGAAACGACCCTGGTGTTTTTGAAAGAGTTTGGCAGTCAATGAGGAGAAGATTGGATGCTTGTATTCTTACTGAAGATAGTCATTTTCAACAGTTCTTGTAGATTAAGTAACATTTACATGTATTTTTTGGTAATAAAATGGTGTTATTGTCTAAAATTTTGTTCGCCTTGTATCTCCTTAACAAAACGGATTTTCAAAAATCATCATGGGACAAAATATTCTTAGAATAGTCCAAGGAACAACCCCTTTAATTTTTGCCGCATGTATAGCTTTATTTTCCTAAAATATTCAAGTTGATGTCATTTTTAGTTTCTAAGTTAGAATTTTTTTTTACTATTTCTACCGCCCTCAACTCCCCTATTTTTATTCAGATTTTTTTCAAAATTAATAGGCTTCTTCCCCTTATATAGCTTGATTTTTCCTGAAATTTTCAATATCAAAAATTGCTAAATTCTTCACAAACATCAATAAAAGGAAAGGGTATCATGTTTATAGTAGAGAAGAGAGAGAATGTTTCAAAAGCTAACGTAATTTATAACGTTTTCAGATTGGTGTAATTGCATATTTGAATGTAATTTTCAATTCTAATTAATGAAAATTTTTGATTTTTTCAAAAATAAACGTACTTTGCTCTAGAGCAAAATTCATATTTTTTGACAAACCTCGTATACGGCTTGAAAAATTTGATACCTGATGACTGTATTTTAAGTTTTGGGTCATGCAGGACTTTTTATCAAGAATAACTTAAGTAGTATATCATAATATTGTAATTAATTATTGTTAACGAAGAACTATGGAAATAAGTAGGTTACCTGTATTGACACCTAAGCAATATGAAGTAATATGTTTAATTGGATGATTTTTCAACATAGACTGGTTCAATGACAGAACAAATGCAGTTAGACTTGTAATGTAATACCCCTTGGGGGTACGCGAAAATTTTCAGGGGGTACGCGGGAAGGTTAATGAAAAATTAAACCATTTATTTCTCTTTTGTAATCACAAAATATTATAATTTATAATGGAATCTAATTGAATACTTGTGTGCTCGAGCACGGGCGTAGCCAGGGGGAGGGTTTTGGGGGTTCAAACCCTTCCCGAAATGTTAAGATATGAACATTAATAATATTAAAATAAGGAGAGGCGAGAGGCATAACTTATTACTAATTATGCTATGTAATCAAATGAACCTTTTGTTTTTTTTACTCTTTAATTTTTTCATATGAATAATACGGTTATTTCATGCACTTTTAGAACTTTTATTTTCTTGAACCCTCCCCGATACTAAATCCTCGCTACGCCCGTGTGCTCGAGTTACGCAGACTAGAAGTGCGGCGGATAGAGTGGAGTGGGGTGTGGGCAGCGGGTCCTTGACTCAGATCAGTGTCAGTGCAGCGTTTCCTATTGTCCTGTTGTTGTTTTGTTTATCAGTTTCGTTCTCGTTGTTATTATAACTTCAAATCTGCTCAACAATTTAAGACTGTTGTTATCGGATTATCAGTTTGTGAACACTGTTAGGATTGATGTGGGAATGTTAGTATGAACATTAAGAATGGATAATTGGCTCAAACGAAAAATATCTCATGAAGATCTTGACCAAAATCCTGGGCCATCAACGTCTCAAAATATAAGTAGGCCTGATTCTAATAACTGTCCGTCCGAATGTAAAAATAAAAACCCTGAAAAAGTGGCACAGGGTGTAAATAAAAAAAGGAAGTATGACGAATCTTACTTAAAATTTGGATTTACTTGGACGGGAAGTTCAGACGAGCCTTCTCCACAATGCGTGGTTTTTTCAGAAATATTATCCAAAAACTCTATGAAACCTTCTCTTTTGAAACGCCATTTTGAAAGTAAACATGGATATTTAGTAAATAAAGATTTAGAGTATTTTAAACGTCTTTTGGAAGATCTTCATAGTAGGAAAAGTACTATAAAACATTTTTCTGGAGCAGACAAAAAAAAGCTCTGAAAGCTTCGTATAAAGTTAGCCATCTAATCTGGGAAAAACCACACCATTGGTGAAAACCTCATTCTCCCTGCTGCATTAGAAATAGTTTCTTGCATGTTTGGAGAAAAAGAGGCAAAAAGTATTAAAAATATACCATTGTCAAATGACACAGTTTCACGAAGAATCAATGACATGGCAAGCAACACAAAAGAGCAACTCGTGCTGGCAATACGAGAAAGTCCGTGGTTTGGAATACAAATTGACGAAACGACAGATGTTACTGGCTTAGCCCAATTGATAGTTTTTGTGCGTGGAATCCGTGAAGATAAAGTATTTGAGGATCTTTTATTTTGCAAGCCACTAAATATTTCTACAAAAGGACGAGACAATTTTACACTTTTGGATTCTTTTTTTCCGAGAACCGACTTGAGTGGAAAAACTGTGTGTCAGTGTGTATGGACGGTGCCAAGGCCATGAGTGGTCATATAACTGGACTGGCAGGCTTTATAAAAAATGTGTCGCCTGAGTGTAACTTCACTCATTGTGTCCTTCACCGTGAGGCTTTGGCAGCCAAGCACATTCCCGATGAGTTAAAAAAAGTTCTCGACGAGAGTGTAAAAATTGTAAATTTTATCAAAACCAGGCCTCAAAAATCTCGTGAGTTTAGGATCCTTTGTCAAGATATGGGTAGTCTTCATGAGAACTTGCTATTACACACTGAAGTTCACTGGCTTTTACGTGGAAACGTCCTGGCCCGTGTGTTTGAGCTCCACAAAGAATTGGATCTTTTCTTCACAGAGCACAAGTCTAATTTGTCATTAGTACTTAATTACTTTGATTGGCTTTTAAAATTGGCTTATCTGAGTGATATTTTTGAAAAACTCAACATATGGAGTAAGTCTATGCAAGGGAGTGTTTCTGATATTTTCTATATTGAAAACAAAACAAATGCAATGTTAAAAAAAATAACACTCTGGAAAAATGAAATAGAAAACAACAACGGTAATGCTTTTGAAAAATTAAACTCATTTTTGGATGAAAACGCAAAAAACAAATCTGCTTTTGATGGCCTTAAAACTCAAATTGAGCGTGACTCCTTTTCGTTTGATGCCATTGAAACTTTGAGCAACCTAACACCATTCCAGAAGGAACAACTAATTGAACTATCATGTGATTAGACTTTAAAAAAAAAATATTTGAGTGCTACCTTATTAGATTTTTGGATTGGTGTTGGAAAGGAGTACCAAGAACTTTCAAATAATGCTGTAAAAATTCTTATTGGATTTTCGACTACATACCTATGTGAAAGAGGGTTTTCGAGCTTAACTTATCTAAATAAGTACAGAAACAAGCTGAATGTTAAGAACGATTTAAGGTTGTATTTAACAAAGCTTGAGCCAAACATTGAGCAACTTTGTAAAAATAAGCAAGCTCATCCTTCTCATTAATGTTTTGTAATGCATTTCAAATATATTTTTAAATAAATTGTGTTTTTAATTAACCCCTCCTCCACCCACCCACATACCCCGATAAACCCCATCCCCCATAACAAGGGGGTACGCAACATTTTAATTTTTCATTAAGGGGTACAGTCTTTGAAAAAGATTGAGAACCCCTGCCTTAGATAATAAAATGTACCTACTCATTGACTCAATAAACATAAAAAAAAGTAATTTGTATTTTCTACTCAATTATTTTCAGTGCAATTTTAAACTAAATTGAACTTAAAAGCATTCTCTAAGTAACAATATTACAAAGGGGATACCCAATCAATCGCTCTCCATCGATCTTGCCCAATTAATTGCATATTACGAGTAATCGTTTCTACTCGGGTAAACCGGTAAACATCTTTTGTAGTCATTGTGCGCGATTTTTGTATTTTCTTTGAAAAAACAATAGAAATGAGTTTAACTCAATTATTTCAAACTCGCTTATATTTAAATTTAAATTGGAGGGTTACAGACAATTTAAAAGTTTTATTGAAAGGATAAAAATAATATCATTGTTCTCGAGTATAATAGCACACATTTCTAAAGAATACAACAAAGAAATAATGTTTTATAACCTATTGTGAGATCAAAAACTCGTTAAGAAGTACTTTCGTTAATACACTCAAAGCGTTCTCTTTTTCCACAAAAAAAATATTACTCGCATTTTCTTTGTATTTCTTGCTGACGAGTCCTTATGAGGAGAAAACCGTCCAACAATTACGTTCTCCTTAGTAGACAAAATCAAAGCTACAGTGTTGCTGCCTCCTACTCTATCCTTGAGTCATTGCTTGTCTAGGTATTAGCCACAGTAGTATTTCTTCTATGTAGGGAAGCAGTAGCTCGTATATTTTGTGACACTGTCTTTGAAATTTCTTCGTTGTCTACATCTTGGTCACATTGAGGTCGGAATATGAAATGTGTTTCTTCAGTTATTTAGAAAACCAAACAAAAACTACAAATATAACAAACTTAAATAATTATTTCACTAAATAATTCTTGAGCTGTCCTGTACATAGATATATAACCAAGACAGATATGATTATTTACAAAATTTCTGAAGCCTCAACGTTGGCGTCCTTGGCAGAAATACAATAATCTGATTTAACATTTACAGTATTTTTGACAGTAGTAATGTATATACATTAGCTTGCAATACGGTTTGTCTTTAAATCATCGGATGAAATTTTCTGCAATTGGTTATTTTTATGATTAAATAGAGCATACCTAATATCAACATGGTATAACAGTGTTTTGTAGAAAACAACGGACTATTTACATGTTATTCTTTCGTTCCACAGATAAGTCAATTTCTTAGGTTATGGTTATGAATATGAATGTTGTTATAGACCCTATAGGCGCACAAATTCAGAACGTATTTAAGTACAGTAATTTATTTGTAGATTTTATAGTTTTATTTTAAAAATGAAACTGTATATGTGCTTCTGTCTATTAACCAGGATCTGCGTTACACCTTAAAACTCCTCCAATAAGTTTGCAGGGTTCTATAACAGACTATGTTGACATAAAATACATTAAAAGAAAATGTTTGTGTCTGAAAATTATTTGCTCCCTATATGAAGTGCTGAATTATCAGTTAAAAGGTAAACATTTTAAATATTTACAAATACATACTAGTTTTTATTAATAAAATCTTTTTTTTTATCTAAAATAATTATAACCTAAAAATATAATGAAGTGCCTAATATTGCATAGCTACAGGTTCCCAATATTGGATATCCAATATTAGGCAATGCTTTGAGGTCAACTCCAATAATATATTGTTTACAGAAATGGCTACTAAGAAAAGAATGCAATGGGATAAAGCAAATATGATTAATGCTATTCAAACAGTAATAAATAAAGAGATGAGATATTTGAGAGCTGCCAAATTCCGAAATCTACATTGGAGTATTACTGTAAATTTGAAAATTCCCTAGAAAATTTAGAAAAATCGACTCTAGGTCGTAAGCCAGTGCTACCTGAAGTATTGGAAAAAGAGTTGGCAATACATTGTCTGGAATTAGAGAAAATGTTCTATGGTTTAACATCGTCCGACGTTCGTCGTTAGGCTTATCAGTTGGCTCTAACTAATAATTTGCCACATCCATTTTCAAAAACAAACGCTACCGCTGGGAAAAAATGGATAAGGAATTTTTTGAGACGAAACAAAAATATTTCTTTTAGAACTCCTCAAGGTGTATCCGCAGCTAGAATCAAAGGATTTACTAAAGAAAATCTGATTAAATTCTATGATATTTTGGAACCATAATTAGACAAAATTAAGTTTAATTCAAGTAAAATTTATAATATTAACTGCAATCCAACACAAGCATACTAAAGTAATTAGCCTAAAAGGAAAGAAACAAGTAGGAGCATTGACAACATCAGAACGAGGTGCGATGGTCACTGTTGTTTTCTTCATGATTGCTAATGGACATTTTATAAACTCAATGATGATTTCCCCACGGAAAAATTTTAAAGTAGAGCTTGTGGATGGAGTGTCTCCAAGATCAATTGAAAAATGTCATCTATCTGGCTGGATTCAGTCATATTTATTTACGCAATGGATGGATCATTTTATTACGCATGCCAAGCCATCCCACGATGATCCTGTTATTTAAATAATGCATGGGTACTATACACACACGCGAAATTTGGATGTAATTAACAAGGCCCGGGAAAATTACATAATATTGATATGCTTACCTCCACATTCAACCCACAAGGTTCAACCAATGGATGTGGCATTTATGGGACCTTTTAAAACGTATTATTGTCAAGAAATTGAAAACTGGTTAAAAGCTAACCCAGGAAGAATAGTTTCATCCTACCAGATTGCAGGTTTGTTAGGAAAAGCATGTTGAAGACTTGCATCGATGGAAATTTCTATATACCGATTTAGAAAATGTGGCATTACACCTTCTAATAGGAATATTTTCGGAAACCATGATTTTTGCATTCATGAGCAATTGGAAACTGCTGTTGAAACTGAAAATATTTACCTAGAAAATGGACCCCCAAATGATATTATCGAAGCACCGACCAAATCTGAACCCATTGCTCAAAAATCTGAACAAAAAATTATTGTTTTACAAAATATTATTTGTAATAAACCCTATACAGAACCTTCAATTCCTATTGCTAATAAAGAAAAGCAAATTAATTTTGTAGAACCAGCTGACATACATCCATTGCCAGTATTACCTGGTCCTTCAGGAGTAAAACCAAAAAAAACTCTGGTGCCGCCGCCTTAGTTAGTGGTTAGCCCTACAAAACAGCCCTTGAGGAATCACAAAGTCCAAAAACAATAGAAAAATTAAGAAAAATTACACTTGTCAAAAGAAAAAACAAAAAGTTGTTGTTTCCTCGGATTCCTCAGAATCAGAAGAGCAAGTCCAATATGCGGATTTGGAAGAT